CCTAATTTCAATACATGTGGGCTAAACAGCTAAACTAACACAGACATAGGTCTGAAATGGCATCCTATTCCCTATATAGTGCACTAGTCTTGAAGATGGCCTAGGACTCTGGTCAAAAGAAGTGCACTATAGTGCCTTCAGAAAGTATTCATACCCTTTGACTTATTACAGCCTGAATTCAAAATATTTTTCTCACCCATCTACACACAATACCCCATAATGACAAAGTGAAAACATGTTTTTATTTTCTTATTTTTTTAATGAAAAAGCTCTGAAGAAGGCCTTGAGGCCAATACGTAAAGCTTAATGAAGAGCAGTGATATTAGCAAGAGCAGTGTGCAGGTTTCTTATTTTTTCTCTCCTGTGTTTTCATATAAAAGTCCCAAAATTGATGTATCAATCGCAGATTGCCTCTTTAAAGAACTTAAAACCCTATGTACAGTACTGTAATGACTCTAGGCGATGTTTCAGCGAGCGACCTACTTCCTAATTGGATATGATTAAACATACAGCAGTTTGCACAAACTATTTGAGCATTTTAATTGCCCAATTAACCCATATGTGACTTATGCAAGGTTACATCATCTTTAGATTATTTTTTATGAAGTTGTATTTGGTCTGCAAATGCTCAGATGCACATACGTAATCATCATTATAGGACATAGCAGACAATAGCTAGTTAAGAGCAGTGGTAGAAAAAGTACTCAATTGTCATACTTGAGTAAAATTAAAGATACCATAATAGAAAATGACTCAAGTAAAAGTGAAAGTCACTCAGTAAAATACTACTTGAGTAAAAGCCTAAAAGTATTTAGTTTTAAATATACTTAAGTATCAAGAGTAAATTATAAATAATTTCAAATTCCTTATATTAGGCAAACCAGATTTTCTAGTTTTTATTTATTTACTGAGTCAAGGGCAAACTCCAACACTCAGACATAATTTACAAATGAAGCATGTGTGTTTAGTGAGTCCGCCAGAACAGAGGCAGTAGGGATGTCCAGGGATGTTCTCTTGATAAGTGTGTGAATTGGACCATTTTCCTTTCTTTAGGAATGTAGTGGAGTAAAAGTAAAAGTAATCAAAATATAAATAGTAAAGTAAAGTACAGATACCCCAAAAAACTACTCAAGTAGTACTTTAAAGTATTTTTACTTAAGTAGTTTACACCACTGGTTAATAGAGAGATGAATATGTCTATGGATGAATGTTGTTGCTAATGCAACCATGCCTCACAGGGACACACCATAGAGCATGTGAACAAGCTTCATAATCATCAGCAAAAAAACTTTTGAAACATTCTTTCTCCCATTGGTCAATTTTTTAAAACTAAAGGATCTCAGTCCCTCCCTGCTCCTCTGCGTTCGTTCCCTTTGATAAATTATATTCACAGGAAATCATTTCTGACGGCTGCACACTAGTCAGCTACAATCACTCAACAATAAGTGCTCAGTTGGGTAACAGTGTAGCCTAGCTAATGCCTGAACTTTACTGAGCATGCCCAGTGCCCACTAGTGTGGGGTTCAGCTGCTTGGTAGAAGGGTGCAGGGAGACTTGGCAACTGCCCATGTATTCTGGAAATTGAATGATATTCCACAGTGTTTGGTTGGTACACTGCTCCCCTACTGTTTGAAACACCACTTTCTTTGTGACAGTTCTGAAGAGGCTCAGAAGAGACGTCGAGAGCTGGGCTCCCTGGTGTTTTATTTCTCTGGGTTTTGTTTTATGTGATTGAGGTTGGAGAGAATCCCAACTAGACCCCCATCACTCTGTTGACCTTTTTGAAAGTTAACATTTCTCTTTCTTTGTAAATGGTCATAGCCTCTTCCATTTCTCCCTTGCTCATGTTATTAGTGGTTGGTATTGCTGGGAGAAGGATTGTGGGGAGATGAAATGGTCCTGAGGCTCTTAGCCGTCAGAGTGGGTACATCACTGACTGTGGCAGCTCCGCAGCTGCCAAGCCTTTTGGATCAGAATTAGCTCTCTGTTCCTAGTTTTCATCTCTCTCACTCCCGCTCTCTCTCTCGCTTGCACTCTCTCTCTCTCCCTCTCTCCCTCTCATCACACATCTCTACTTCTCTCACACATCTCTCTATTCCCCCCTCATCTCCCTCTTTCTCACATTTCTCTTCCTCTCTTCCCCCTCCTCTCTCTCTCTCTCGCACACGTCTCTCCCTCATCCAAACTCTCTCTCTCTCTTTCTCTCTTACGTGAACCCACTCGTTAATGCAATTGATTCTCTGTCTTTGAGAGCTGGTGAAGTGGAGTTGAGAAGCCAGAACTGGGGCATCTGTGTTGTAAGTGAGAGAGCTAACTGACTAACTGAAAGGCCTGATTGCAGACAGCTGTGATGGTTGGAGGTTGGACAGGTGCTGGAAGGTGTGTACAGGGAGGGTGCTGCCTTTGCACCAGTGTGTCTCTCTCTCTCTCTCTCTCTCTCTCTCTCTCTCTCTCTCTCTCTCTCTCTCTCTCTCTCTCTCTCTCTCTCTCTGTCTGTCTGTCTGTCTGTCTGTCTGTCTGTCTGTCTGTCTGTCTGTCTGTCTGTCTGTCTGTCTGTCTGTCTGTCTGTCTGTCTGTCTGTCTGTCTGTCTGTCTGTCTGTCTGTCTGTCTGTCTGTCTGTCTGTCTGTCTGTCTGTCTGTCTGTCTGTCTGTCTGTCTGTCTGTCTGTCTGTCTGTCTGTCTGTCTGTCTGTCTGTCTGTGTAGGTGTGCTGATAAGAGAGGTGTGGTAGTGGGGTGTGGGGTAACACGGCGGGCAGGGGGATGACAGGGGGCTCTGACAGTCCATTGCTAGCCTCAGGCTAACGCACTAAAGCACCATAGCTAGCATCGCCAGAGGATAATGCTGGATGAAAGTATCTCTCATTCTCCAAGAGTAGGGTTTCAGTTCTAGCCTGTGTCATTCTCTGTTGAAGGATTTCACTCATAACTTGTGGGAATAGAAAGCAAGCCTTGTTCTTGATTTGAATATCTCTTAGAACTCAAATGTTTTTTCACACTAGACCGTGTGCTATGGGGGTTGTTTGTTTGGCAAATATGTCACACACACTCAAGCTTTTTCATGCTCAACACGCATATTACGTTGTTCATTATTCATGCCTATGTTTGTTTTAGACGGACAATGCATATGTCATGTGTCACTTTGTTTTCCTGCTCTGTAAGTGTATCTGTCACGATCGTTGTAAGAACCGGACCAAGGCGCAGCGTGATAGGCGTACATCTTTTAATGAGTACTTTATATAAACAACAAAACGATACGTGAAGTCAAAAGGTTCACCAACACAAACCTATACAGAACAAGATCCCACAATAAACTAGTGCCAACCGGCTGCCTAAGTATGGTTCCCAATCAGAGACAACGAGAATCAGCTGCCTCTGATTGGGAACCACCCTGGCCAACATAGAAAACACGAACTAGAACGAAACATAGAAAATACAACATAGACACTACACACCCTGGCTCAACATAAAAGAGTCCCCAGAGCCAGGGCGTGACAGTACCCCCCCCCCAAAGGCGCGGACTGCGACCGCGCCAACCAAACTCAAGAGGGTAGGAGCCGGGTGGGCATTCCGCCTCGGAGGCGGATCCGGCTCCGGGCGCGACCACCACTCTCTCTCTCGCCCACGTGGTCTGGCCCTGCTGGCCGGAGCTGGACTGAACACCGGTGGAGCGGATTGGCCGAACCGGGCTGGCGACGCGCACCACAGGCTTGGTGCGAGGGGCAGGAACAGGCTGGGCCGGGCTGGCGACGCGCACCACAGGCTTGGTGCGAGGGACAGGAACAGGCCGGACCGTACTGGGGACACACACCACTGGCCTTGTGCGAGGGACAGGAACGGGCCGGACTGGTAACACACCCCAGTACCTCTCGCCGTGCCTCTACACTCTCCTTCCCCCTCATGACCAATGGCCCCCGTAACCTGGTGGCCTCCTCTCCTAGTCCACAAACTCGCCCTGTAGCTGCCTCCAGCAGCCCCGTCGTCCATGCCGTGTGCCCCCCCAAAAAAATGTATTGGGGTTGCCTCTCGCCTGTCCGACGACGGCACGGTTGGCGCCGTACCTCCTCTCTCGCCAGGGCTTTAACTTTTGCCCATGGCCCTTTGCCCGCGAACATGTCCTCCCAAGACCACCATTCGCCCACCTGGGACATCGCCAACTTCTCCAGTTCCTTTCCCGGTGTCTGCTCCTGAACACGCTGCTTGGTCCTTCTTTGGTGGGATCTTCTGTCACGATCGTTGTAAGAACCGGACCAAGGCGCAGTGTGATAGGCGTACATATTTTAATGAGTACTTTAACAATAACAACAAAACAACAAAACGATACGTGAAGTCTAAAGGTTAAACACCACAAACCTATACAGATCAAGATCCCACAATTAACTGTGCCAAACAGGCTGCCTAAGTATGGTTCCCAATCAGAGACAACGAGAATCAGCTGCCTCTGATTGGGAACCACCCTGGCCAACATAGATCCACACGATCTAGAACATAAACCTAGAAAACTAAACATAGAAACTCAACATAAAGAGTCCCCAGAGCCAGGGCGTGACAGTATCTCAATGCAATGTAGCCTAAGTGTCTAACTTAGTAGTCACAGATGAATATTGCTACACACACAATGAACCAAGCCAAAGGCAAAAGAGAACAAAAAGGTGCAGAAATGACATTATACCAAAACACCACTAATAGAAATTACCACCACAACAGCTTCTGCAATTTACCACATACAGTAATCACTAGATTGCAGTCATCTGAAAAGATAGATAGAAGATTTCAGAATAATAGACAGTGAGTGTTTTGTTTAGCATGCTTGTTTCTGAGTCCCAAATGGCACCCTATTCCCTATGTAGTGCAGTACTTTTGACCAGAGCCTTATGGGTGCCATTTAGGATGCAGATGCCTGTACCCATCCAGTGCTGTTCTGTATTCAGCCCTGTGTTTCCCGTGGTCCCCTGCAGGGAGTTTGGCTGGAGAGACCCAGAGCTGCCTGAGGTGATTCAAATGCTGCAGCACCAGTTCCCCTCGGTCCAGTCCAACGCTGCAGCCTACCTCCAACACCTGTGCTTTGGAGACAACAAGATCAAGTCTGAGGTAACCTGCACCAGGCCGATATGGCTCCTCATACATTTCTACTGCCATGTGCTAGCGGGGACAGCTGCATCCACTGCTATACATTATGAAATGTATAGGTCCCATAAAGTTGTTGAATCTGTGGTTATCACATTGGGCTTAAAAACAATCAGAATCAGCCAGTAGGTGGGCCCTGGGCAGCTGTTGTTTAATTTGAAACGTATGCAAAGTCCGCCTCTACTCTCATGTTCAGTACATCATCTCAAATCTATACCTTTTGTGAAACCTTTTTAGAGAATAATTCACAATTCTAGCTCAGGATCAATCCCAGGTGATAGAATTGTGAATTCTCCTCACATTAGTAGAGATATAGTATTGCCTGCTCTTGCTTTACCTGACTTTCCTCACCCTAATGTGGGGATGTTGGATAGCTTGGTGTGTGTGATATCTGTGTGTGATACACTACCAGTCAAACGTTTTAGAACACCTACTCATTCAAGGGTTTTTCTTTATTTTAATATTTTCTACATTGTAAAATAATAGTGAAGACATCAAAACTATGAAATCATGTAGTAACCAAAAAAGTGTTAAAAAAGACTATTCAAATAGCCACCCTTTGCCTTGATGACAGCTTTGCACACTCTTGGCATTCTCTCAACCAGCTTCACCTGGAATGCTTTTCCAACATATGTTGAGCACTTGTTGGCTGCTTTTCCTTCACTCTGCGGTCCGACTCATCCCAAACCATCTCAATTTGGTTGAGGTCGGGGGATTGTGGAGGCCAGGTCATCTGATGCAGCACTCCATCACTCTCCTTCTTGGTCAAATAGCCCTTACACAGCCTGGAGGTGTGTTGGGTCATTGTCCTGTTGAAAAACAAATGATAGTCCCACTAAGCCCAAACCAGATGGGATGGCATATCGCTGCAGAATGATGTGGTAGCCATGCTGGTTAAGTGTGCCTTGAATTCTAAATAAATCACAGACAGTGTCACCAGCAAAGCACCCCCACACCATAACACCTCCTCCTCCATGCTTTACGTGGGAAATACACATGTGGAGATCATCCGTTCACCCACACCGCGTCTCACAAAGACACTGCGGTCGGAACCAAAAATATCAAATATGTACTCCAGACTAAAGGACACATTTCCACCGGTCTAATGTCCATTGCTCGTGTTTCTTGGCCCAAACAAGTCTCTTCTTATTATTGGTGTCCTTTATTAGTGGTTTCTTTGCAGTAATTTGACCATGAAGGCCTGATTAACACAGTCTCCTCTGAACAGTTGATGTTGAGATGTGTCTGTAACTTGAACTCCGTGAAGCATTTATTTGGGCTGCAATTTCTGAGTCTGGTAACTCTAATGAACTCTGGGTCTTCCAATCCTGTGGCGGTCCTCATGAGAGCCAGTTTCATCATAGCGCTTGATGGTTTTTGCGACTGCACTTGAAGTAACTTTCAAAGTTCTTGAAATGTTCCGTATTGACTGACCTTCATGTCTTAAAGTAATGATGGACTGTCGTTTCTCTTTGCTTATTTGAGCTGTTCTTACCATAACATGGACTTGGTCTTTTACCAAATAGGGCTATCTTCTGTATACCTTGTCACAACACAACTGATTGGCTCAAACGCATTAAGAAGGAAAGAAATTCCACAAATTAACTTTTAAGAAGGCACACCTGTTAATTGAAATGCATTCCAGGTGACTACCTCATGAAGCTGGTTGAGAGAATGCCAAGAGTGTGCAAAGCTGTCATCAAGGTAAAGGGTGGCTATTTGAAGAATCTCAATTATATTTTGATTTGTTTAACACTTTTTTGGTTACTGCATGATTCCATATGTGCTATTTCATAGTTTTGATGTCTTCACTATTATTCTACAATGTAGAAAATAGTAAAAATAAAGAAAAACCCTTGAATGGGTAGGTGTTCTAAAACTTTTGACCGGTAGTGTATGTGGGGACATTGGCTGGGTGAGGTGGAGGGATGGTGAGATGGGGGAGGTTGAGATGGAGAGATAAGTTGCAGGTGAGATGCTGTCTGGGAGGGATTGGAAGAAAGTCATTTAGGTCAGCTGATAGCTTTTCCTGGAACACTGCTGACGCTCATCTCATCGCCTCTCTCAGACAGATATATCACACAGGCAACATGGGCAGACACACACACATACACACACCACACACACACACACACACTTTGGCAATCACACACATAGGCACACACACACATACAGTGATATACTATATATTCAAAGGTATGTGGACACCCCTTCAAATTAGTGGATTCGGCTCTTTCAGCCACACCCGTTGCTGACAGGTGTATAAAATCGAGCACACAGCCATGCAATCTCCATAGACAAACACTGGCAGTAGAATGGCCTTACTGAAGAGCTCAGTGACTTTCAACGTGGCACCGTCATAGGATGCCACCTTTCCAACAAGTCATTTCTTCAAATTTCTGCCCTACTAGAGCTGCCCCGGTCAACTGTAAGTGCTGTTATTGTGAAGTGGAAACATCTAGGAGCAACAACGGCTCAGCCGCGAAGTGGTAGGCCACACAAGCTAACAGAACGGGACCGCCGAGTGCTGAAGAGCGTAGCGCGTAAAAACTGTCTGTCCTCGGTTGTAACACTCACTACCGCATTCCAAACTGCCTATGGAAGCAACGTCAGCACAAGAACTGTTCGTCGGGAGCTTCATGAAATGGGTTTCCATGGCCGAGCTGCCGCACACAAGCCTAAGATCACCATGCACAATGCCAAGCGTCGACTGGCTTCCAGTTGAGGCTCGCATCTACTACAAGACTATGGTGCTTGCCAAGGAGCTGTAAGGGGAACGGCACCTCCTTACCTTCAGGCTCTGATCAGACCCTACACCCAAACGAGGGCACTACATTCATCCACCTCTGGCCTGCTAGCTCCCCTACCTCTACGGAAGCTCAGTTCCCGCTCAGCCCAGCCAAAGCTATTTGCTGCTCTGGCACCCCAATGGTGAAACAAGCTCCCCCACGACGCCAGGACAGCGGAGTCACTGACCACCTTCTGGAGACACTTGAAACCCTACCTCTTTAAGGAATACCTGGAATAGTATAAAGTAATCCTTCTACCCCCCCTCCCCCACACAAAAAAACAAAAAGTGGTTGTCCCACTGGCTATCATAAGTTGAATGCACCAATTTGTAAGTCGCTCTGGATAAGAGCGTCTGCTAAATGATGTAAATGTAAATGTAAATGTGTAAAGGTCGCCGCCATTTGACTCTGAAGCAGTGGAAACACGTTCTCTGGAGTGATGAATCACGCTTCACCATCTGGCAGTCCGACGGACAACTCTGGGTTTGGCGGATGCCAGGAAAACGCTACCTGCCCCAATGCATTGTGCCAACTGTAAAGTTTGGTGGAGGAGGAATAATGGTGTGGGGCTGTTTTTCATTGTTCGGACTAGGCCCCTTAGTTCCAGTGAAGGGAAATCTTAACGCTACAGCATGCAGTGACATTCTAGACGATTCTGTGCTTACAACTTTGTGGCAACACTTTGGGGAAGGCCCTTTCCTGTTTCAGCATGACAATGCCCCTGTGCACAAAGCGAGGTCCATACAGAAATGGTTTGTCGAGATTGGTGTGGGAGAACTTGACTGGCCTGCACAGAGCCCTGACCACAACCCCATTGAACAGCTTTGGGATTAATTGGAACGCCGACTGTGAGCCAGGCCTAATTGGTCAACATCAGTGCCCGACCTCACTAATGCTCTTGTGGCTGAATGGAAGCAAGTTCCAGCAGCAATGTTCCAACATTTAGTGGAAAGCCTTCCCAGAAGAGTGGAGGCTGTTATAGAAGCAAAAGGGGGACCAACTCCATATTAATACCCATTATTTTGTAATGAGATGTTCGACGAACAGGTGTCCACATAGTTTTGGACATGTAGTGTATTTATAGTACTGCGAGGCGATGCACGTTAGCTGTGTGTGTCATCATGGTACCTTGTCTCGCCTAGCAGTATCTTGGTTATTTTTGGAGTAGAAGGCTGTGTGAAGGAAATTACTATTTAATGGGCACTCTATTTTAGTAACAGTAGAGCAATGGAGATGGAGGGACATTTGTATAGTAAGTCTCTTCATAAACAGAAGGGAATATACAACATGTACTGGATAATGGCAGCATGTATGTAGCCTGCAATCTTGCGAGCCAGTGTCTATCACCTTTGCCAACAGAGCACCCAGATAAACAGGTTCTGATTTGTAAAGATTTTTCTCCTCTGTGTTTAATTGGAGTTGAGCTGGACAGCAACAGCAGCAGTGCTGATCCATTCTGTTGGACCTGGCAGCACATCTGCTGACTGTTGGCACCACTCCTCCAGTGTGCGTGCATACACACATACGTATGCTTATGTGTGTGACACTCTGCCAGGTCATCTCATCTCACTTCTTCTGTCACTCTGTCAATATGTCACTCTGTCCTCTGTCTCTCTGAGACAGTGTGTCCTTGGCCTGTCTGTCTGTGTGCAGATTAACCAACATTTCTGTTATTTTTATTTTTTTAAATAACTGACCGACATTGGTTGAATTATTTGAATTCCATTTAGTTCAGGTTTTTTCTGTGAGCTCAATGCGCACATTGCACAGTTCCTCTAGAGATAAATCAATCCAGCCTGAACTTTGCGATGTATAGGGAGTTGTAGTTTCCAACAGGCCAATACTCTACATTGTTTAGCACAGGAAACGTGGTAATTAACTACAATGACCATATTCCATTGCGTATCTACTTGTCCGGTCTGTGTTTCTTTTACAGCTGCTACGGAAGAGACAGAAGAATGAGCGATCGTGAAGTGATATAGGGAGCAGCTGTTGCTTCGCAAAGTATCTCTACCTGAAAATACATGATCTAAGTGATTGATAGTTGGTATTAAGCAGTCATAAAAGTATGCCTTATTTACTTTGAAGAACTACTAAAATAGTGCTTTTGTCAGACAGTATAGGCAGCAGCTCTATAGAGATGAGATGATGACTTGGAATGAAATAATGAAGTCATCAAATAAAACAAATGTAATATACACATCAACTGAAATATTTGATTAAAGTAATGTAAATAAATGATGGTTAATAAGTGATAAGTAGTAATGGGCAGTCACTACCATCATGGGACTTTTATTTAACTGTTTTATTCTGTGTTGTTACAGCATTCAACCCACATAATGCATACTGCATTTAATGTTTAAAAAAAATACTAATCGAACCGAAACTGAACCGACCGCAAAAAGCACTAATCGCTCAGCACTAATGTGCAGCCACATGACTCTTGAGCTCTCAAACTCAGCTCTGGACCTCGAAGCCAGTTCCACTGCGTCTTTTCAATGTTCCCCTCTAATCAGGGACTGATTTTAGACCTGGGACACCAGGTGAGTGCAATTAATTATCAGGTAGAACAGAAAACCAGCAGGCTCCGGACCTCATAGGGTAAGATTTGAGTACCCCTGCTCTAGATTAATGAGGGAGGAAGGAACTGTCTCACCTGGCTCTAGTTGATTTATAGAGGAAAGGTACCTGAGTGAAATAAAGAACAGGATTCATAGGGATGCCTCCAGGGATATTGTTGTCAATGCTGAAAACTATAGATTACTTCTTTGGCAGACAGTTTGTGGAATTGAATTGTATAGAACAGTAGCTAGCTACACTATTGCATGCATGTTTGTACTGTTATTTGTCTATATATTCATTTTGATCTAGCCTTGATCGATTTGTTATGATCCATTAACATCCTCCTTTTCTCTCCTCTCCCTGTTCCTCTCACCAGATCCGAAGGCAGGGAGGGATCCAGCTGCTGGTGGATCTGCTGGATCACAGGATGACTGATGTGCACCGGAGCGCCTGTGGAGCTCTGAGGAACCTGGTGTACGGAAAGGCCAACGATGACAACAAGATCACCCTGAAGAACTGTGGGGGGATCCCAGCCCTGGTCCGCCTGCTGAGGAAGACCACCGACGTGGAGATCAGGGAGCTGCTTACTGGTAAACAGAGTTTGGTGATACGTTTTTACAAAGAGAGACATAACATAGCCTTGCTATATGACATTATAAAGGCTCATACCTGCTTATAGCAAGTTATAAAGCATTATACCTGGATGCTTATATCTAGAGTTTATACACAAGCTGAGTTTAACAGGACATTGGTACTGGGAGCTGGATAACTAACAATTACTGAAGGCTGTAGTGGTGAAGAATCACAAAGGGACGTTTCACATCAACATCCTTAGCAGTGGTTTAGACACTGAATATGAAAAAACGAATATCCACAAATGACTTACTGGATAGAAGATTCCTATGTTTTATGAAATACAATATGATGTAATACTTGCATGGTGCTATTATCTATTAAAGGAGCGATGTTCTGAAAGTAAACATTGCCTAAATGTACTTAGTCAATAACAAGTGAGAGGTTATATCCCCTAGTCATGTTTATAGAGGGCATTATTTTATTCTTTATTTTTTACTGTAGAGAGGATTTTGAGCCTGGAAATGCTTTGGAAATAAACAGTTTGTGCTGGTACTGTCTTAAAGGAGATTACCATATAAATGAGAAAGCAGTTCAATGCACGGAACACAGAGTCCCTCCTGTCACAAATTAATCAGGCATCAGAAAACCTTCCCCGGCCCAGAGGAATTCTGCCTCTTCACTTCTTCTCTTCTGGCTGTTTAAATCAGAGTCACAGTGAGCGCCTGTGCCTCCTCTCCCCTCCCCTCCCTGTGACTGGGCATGGATTAACGGGACTATTTACCCATCTCTCTCCCTCCATCTCCCAGCCTTCCCCATGCCACTGACTGCCAGGAGGCGCCCTACTTAGGGAAGCGGTGGCGGCGGTTTATGACATCACAGGAAGCCAAACAAGGTTGTTGTTTCCTCTGCTGCTCTAGCAACCCCCCCCCCCCCCCGCGCATGTAGAGGAGCTAAAGATTATTATTTAGCGGGAATAAAGCTCTTTTAAATGGCGGATTTCTTGTCTCCTGAGATTAGAGATGTGGATTGTGTCCTGGACTCCAAGTGACGTCGAACAGGAACCCCTGTTGCTGCACTTACGCAGCCAGGATGCAATTAGTCTAGTTTAGTGGAGGGGTGATGGGGTGTGGTCGGGCTAGATTATGGTTAATCAAGTTGTCCTTCTGTAGTTCTTGGAATAGATTAATTGAAAAGTAGAGTAGTTGGATGAGATTGAAATGTAGAAATGTACAGCCATCTACAGACAGCAATTCATAGACATACACTACCGGTCAAAAGTTTTAGAACACCTACTAATTCAAGGGTTTTTCTTTATTTTTACTATTTTCTACATTGTAGAATAATAGTAAAGACATCAAAACTATAAAATAACACATATGGAATCATGTAGTAACCAAAAAAGTGTTAAACAAATCATAATATATTTTATATATATATTTAAAATAGCCACCCTGTCACGATCGCTGAAGGAAGTGGACCAATGCGCAGCGTGATGAGTGAACATGCTTATTTATTCATTCACCACGAATGAACAAAACAACAAAACGATACGTGAAGTCCTTAGTAACAGACACAAACCATACACGGAACAAGATCCCACAACACACTGTGGAAAACAGGCTGCCTAAGTATGGTTCCCAATCAGAGACAACAAGCAACAGCTGATACACGTTGCCTCTGATTGAGAACCATACCGGACAACATAGAAACAAATGAACTAGATAAAAAACCTAGAACACAAAACACATAGAAACAACACACCCTGGCTCAACATAACAGAGTCCCAGAGCCAGGGCGTGACAGTACCCCCCCCCAAAGGCGCGGACTGCGACCGCGCCAAACATAAACCGAACAGGGAAGGGCCGGGTGGGCATTCCTCCTCGGAGGTGGTTCCGGCTCCGGGCTTGACCCCCACCCTCCAACAAACCCCCCATAGCGCCCCTGGTCTGGTCTGGCCCTGCTGGCTGGATCTGGACTGGACATCGGTGGAGCGGATCGCTCAGGCTCCGATGTGGAGCAGCTAACCGGTACCTGACCAGGCACCGGTGACCCAGGCACGGGCTGTGCCGGACTGACGACGCGCACCACAGGCTTGGTGCGGGGAGCAGGAACGGGCCGGACCGGGCTGACGACGCGCACCACAGGCTTGGTGCGGGGAGCAGGGACGGGCCGAATCAGGCTGACGAAGCGCACCACAGGCTTGGTGCGGGGAGCAGGGCCGGACTGGGCTGACGTCGCGCACCACAGGCTTGGTGCGGGGAGCAGGAACGGGCCGGACCGGCCTGACGACGCGCACCACAGGCTTGGTGCGGGGAGCAGGGACGGGCCGGACTGGGCTGGCTACACACCTCAGTACCTCTCGCCGTGCCTCTACATATTCCTTCCCTCTACTCGCCAATGGCTCCCGTAACCCGGTGGCCTTCTCTCCTCGTCCACCAACTCGCCCCTTATCTGCCTCCAGCAGTCCCGTCGTCCACGGTGTGAGCCCCCCCCTAAAAATGTCTTGGGTTCGTCTCTCCCCCGTGGCTATGGCCTCCATGGCTCTCGCCAGACTCTCCCTCTTCTGCTCCCAAGTCCAACCTCTCTCCTCCTCCCGCGGCTTGACCCAGTCGAGGTTGATATCCTTTAGAGCCCTCTCTGGCGTTGGCTCCTGGACACGCGGCTTGACCCAGTCGAGGTTGATATCCTTTAGAGCCCTCTCTGACGTTCTGGACACGCTGCTTCGTCCAGTTATGGTGGGATCTTCTGTCCCGATCGCTGAAGGAAGTGGACCAATGCGCAGCGTGATGAGTGAACATACTTATTTATTCATTCACCACGAACGAACAAAACAACAAAACGATACGTGAAGTCCTTAGTAACAGACACAAACCATACACGGAACAAGATCCCACAACACACTGTGGAAAACAGGCTGCCTAAGTATGGTTCCCAATCAGAGACAACAAGCAACAGCTGATACACGTTGCCTCTGATTGAGAACCACACCGGCCAACATAGAAACAAATGAACTAGATAAAAAACCTAGAACACAAAACACATAGAAACAACACACCCTGGCTCAACATAACAGAGTCCCAGAGCCAGGGCGTGACACACCCAAATAGCCACCCTTTGCCTTGATTTCAGCTATGCACGCTCTTGGCATTCTCTTAACCAGTTTCACCTGGAATGCTTTTCCAAAAGTCTTGAAGGAGTTCCTACATATGCTGAGCACTTGTTGGCTGCTTTTCCTTCACTCTGCGGTCCGACTCATCCCAAACGATCTCAATTTGGTTGAGGTCGGAGGATTGTGGAGGTCAGGTCATCTGATGCAGCACTCCATCACTCTCCTTCTTGGTAAAATAGCCCTTACACAACCTGGAGGTGTGTTGGGTCATTGTCCTGTTGAAAAACAAATTATAGTCCCACTAAGCCCAAACCAGATAGGATGGCGTATCGCTGCAGAATGATGTGGTAGCCATGCTGGTTAAGTGTGCCTTGAATTCTAAATAAATCACAGACAGTGTCACCAGCAAAGCACCTCCACACCATAACACCTCCTCCTCCGTGCTTTACGTGGGAAATAAACATGCCGAGATCATCCATTCACCAACACTGCGTCTCACAAAGACACGACGGTTGGAACCAAAAATCTCAAATTTGGACTCCAGACCAAAGGACAAATTTCCACCGGTCTAATGTCCATTGCTCGTGTTTCTTGGCCCAAGCAAGTCTCTTCTTCTTATTGGTGTCCTTTATTAGTGGTTTCTTTGCAGCAATTCGACCATGAAGGCCTGATTCACACAGTCTCCTCTGAGCAGTTGATGTTGAGATGTTTCTGTTACTTGAACTCTGTGAAGCATTTATTTGGGCTGCAATTTCTGAGTCTGGTAACTGTAATTAACTTATCCTCTGCAGTAGAGGTAACTCTGGGTGTTCCTTTCCTGTGGCGGTCCACACGAGAACCTGTTTCATCATAGTGCTTGATGGTTTTTGCGACTGCACTTGAAGAAACATTCAAAGTTCTTGAAATGTTCCGTACTAACTGACATTCATGTCTTAAAGTAATGATGGACTGTCGTTTCTCTTTGCTTATTTGAGCTGTTCTTGCCATAATATGGACTTGGTCTTTTACCAAATAGGGCTATCTTCTGTATACCCCCCCTACCTTGTCACAACACCACTGATTGGCTCAAACGCATTAAGAAGGAAAGAAATTCCACAAATTAACTTTTAAGAAGGCACACCTGTTAATTTAAATGCATTCCAGGTTACTACCTCATGAAGCTGGTTGAGAGAATGCCAAGAGTATGCAAAGCTGTCATCAATGCAAAGGGTGGCTATTTGAAGAATCTCAAATATAAAATATATTTTGATTTTTTTAACACTTTTTTGGTTTCTACATGATTCCATATGTGTTATTTCTTAGTTTTGATGTCTTCACTATTATTCTACAATGTAGAAAATAGTAAAAATAAAGAAAAACCTTTGAATGAGTAGGTGTTCTAAAACTTTTGACCGGTAGTGTATAAACAAAACATTAGGAACACCTGCTCTTTCCATGACATAGACTGACAAGGTGAATCCAGGTGAACGCTATGATCCCTTATTGATGTCACCTGTTAAATCCACTTCAATCAGTATAGGATAAGGTGAGACGACAGTTTAAAGAAGGATTTTTAAGCCTTGAGACAATTGAGACATGGATTGTGTATGTATGCCATTCAGAGGGTGAATGGGCAAGACAAAATATTTAAGTGCCTTTGAACGGGGTATGATAGTAGGTGCCAGGCGCACCGGTTTGAGTGTGTCAAGAACTGCAATACTGCTGGGTTTTTCACCCTCAACAGTTTCCAGTGTGTATCAAGAATGGTCCACCATCCAAAGGACATCCAGCAAACTTGACACAACTGTGGGAAGCATTGGAGTCAACATGGGCCAGCATCCCTGTGGAACACGTTCGACACCTTGTAGTCCATGCCCCGACGAATTGAGGCTGTTCTGAGGGCAAAGGGGGGTGCAACTCAATATTAGAAAGGTGTTCCTAATGTTTTGTACACTCCGTGTATATTTGGTACCCTGATGGCTCACTATAGAGTGGCTGATTAATTAGAACGTCATCTGCACTGAATCAGTCCTTTGCCACTTGACTGCCGGCTCACGACACGGCCGCTGCCTCACCTGAACCACATAAAAACAACAGGCTCCTTCCTCAAATACCATTTCTGTCACCTTGACAACCTGCACAGTGCCCTCACCTTCCACGGCCCCCTGTAGAGTTCATTTGGGTCCAGTTCTGCAGACAGCCTACTTTCTCCCCATGTAATGATGCTCTTGCTGCCCACCTAGCACCCCCCACACCGCACCGCCTCACCAATGATGTAAGGCTGAGGCAATTAACCTCTTTCATCTGTCAGGCGAAATAAAAAAGATGTTATAGGTAGTTATTATGCGCCGAGCCTGCCACCACCACTATAGGCAGCAGCCCTTTCATTTTTGAAAACACAGAAATGCTGTGCGCCGCCCCGAGCGTGGTAAAGTGATGCTCTCTGCAAGATTACTGTCTCCACTAATTATGAGCAATGCAGCTAGTTATTTAGAGCAGAGCAGACCACAAGGAAAACATCCCAACATGACTGAGAAGACGAAAGTAAATCTGTGTAATTACATTGTTGTTGTGAGAGGAACGGGTGAAGAGTGACTGTCTGCCTCATCACTGGTAATTGCAATCATAAATGCTACGGTGTCCTGGGAGGGACATGACACGGTGAAGGTCAACAAGAATTATAATGTGTTGTGCCAGCTTTCAAGGTCATTACAATCAGTGTGCTGAGTGTGTGTGTGTGAGCCCTCTCAACAAATCACAGTGGTTTGTGGTATGGAGTGTTGTAGAGTGAAGGACCCTCTCCTCCTCCTCCCCCTTCATCTCTCCTCTCTCTTCTTATAGATAATTGGCCAGCTCTTGTGGTGTGTGTGTGTATATCTCGACCTTTGGCTGACAGCAGCTGCTCACTCCTTAACACCATCCATGGCAGAGTCACCATGTTCCCACCACATCCTATTGAAAGCAATTTATGGTGACACATGACTCGGTTGTCTTTTTATTATACTGAACAAAAATATAAACGCAACGTGTAAAGTGTTGGTCCTATGTTTCATGAGCTGAAATAAAAGATCCCAGAAATTGTCCATACACACAAAAAGCTTATTTCTCTCAAACTTTGTGCACAAATTTGTTTACATCCCTGTTAGTGAGCATTTCTCCTTCGCCAAGATGATCCATCCACCTGACAGGTGTGGCATATAAAGAAGCTGATTAAACAGCATGATCATTACACAGGTGCACTTTGTGCCGGGGACAATAAAAGGCCACTCTAAAATGTGCAGTTTTGTCACAGCTCATCTGCGTGCTCGTCGTCCTCACCAGGGTCTTGACTTGACTGCAGTTCAACGTTGAAACTGACTTCAGTGGGCAAATGCTCACCTTCGATGGCCACTGGCACGCTGGGGAGGTGTGCTCTTCACAGATGAATCCCGGTTTCAACTGTACCGGACAGATCGTGGGTGAGGGGTTTGCTGATATCAATGTTGTGAACAGAATGCCCCATGGTGGCGGTGGGGTTATGGTATGGGCAGGCATAAGCTACGGACAATGAACACAATTGCATTTTATCGATGGCAATTTGAATGCACAGAGATACCGTGACGAGATCCTGAGGCCCATGGTGGTGCCATTCATCCGCCGCCATCACCTCTTGTTTCAGCACGATAATGCACGGCCCCATGTCGCAAGGATCTGTACACAATTCCTGGAAGCTGAACATGTCCCAGTTCTTCCATGGCCTGCATACTCACCAGACATGTCACCCATTGAACATGTTTGGGATTCTCTGGATCGACGTGTACGACAGTGTGTTACAGTTCCTGCCACTATCCATTAACTTCACACAGCCATTGAAGAGGAGTGGAACAACATTCCACAGGTAGCAATCTACAGCCTGATCAACTCTATGAGAAATAGATGTGTCGCACTGTATGAGGCAAATGGTGGATACTGACTGGTTTTCTGATCCACGCCCATGCCTTTTTTTTAAAGGTATCTGTGACCAACAGATGCATATCTGTATTCCCAGTCTTGTGAAATCCATAGATTAGGGCCTAATGAATTTATTTCAATTTGACTGATTTCCTTATATGAACTGTAAGTCAGTAAAATGTTGAAATTGTTGCATGTTGCGTTTATATTTTTGTTCCGTGTATTATGAGGAATATTATTTTGGTATCTTCATACAGCTGCTGCAATTCAGGTTCAGCTGAAGTCATATGTAAACTGGGATGTAAGATACTCTCTGTGGACACGTAATGCCTCTGTTCAGTGTTTAGTAAAACACCCGAGATTGAGGAGGAAGACTGAAGTCGTAGTCAGTGTGGTTAAAGAGGAGAGAGGAGAGCCCAGCTGCAGAGAGAGAGAGTTTCCTCCTTGTCTCTGTCTCTGTGTGGGTTACTCATACAGTCTGTGCCAAAGCCGCTGGCTTGGAATGTAATTGGTAGGTTGGCTGGTTGCACATGAAATTACGGAGAAAATTATCAATATCTATGAAGCCCTAGGTGACCAGTTTATTGCACAATCACGATGGCCTCTCACTATATCAAAACTAGGGGCTGAAATATGCTTTTTTGTGAACATACGCACGACAAGTAATGAAACATTCATAGAACCTTACCGTTTCTTTTCAGTGTTTTGAAAATTTTTTGTCCAAGGTATATTAAACTTTATATGTTTCAGCACAGTTTCCACACTCATGTGCACAATATACCTCCATTCCTTTCCCAGGATATCTGCACCTGACCATTCTCCCACGTTAAATCACTGTTCGTCAACATCTTATCCTATCTGATGTTCTGTGTTCAGGTGTGCTGTGGAACCTGTCGTCATGTGATGCCCTGAAGATGCCCATTATTCAGGATGCCCTGGCTGTGCTGACCAACGCTGTCATCATCCCCCACTCAGGCTGGGACATCTCGCCCCATCAGGAGGACCGCAAGCTGCACTTGCACTCCTCCCAGGTGCTCCGCAACGCCACTGGCTGCCTCAGGTCAGTACTGTTACTGGACCCTCTGGTCAATCAATCAATCAATCAAATGTATTTGCTAGCTTTTTACGTCAGCAGTTGTCACTAAATCCTTTACAGTTACCCAGTATAGACCACAAAGAAAAGCTGGAGTGAAAGCACAGTGGCAGGGTCAGAGGTTAGAGGTCACAAGTCATGACAGCGTATGTTAACTCTGAGGTTACATGCAATGGGTTGTAAGGTTTCTTCTGGGGACTTGAATTCCTCTTCTCGGGGTAGCTTTTACTGAGAGCGGCCGGCTTCTCGTAGGTCAATATCTTCCTGCTTTGTCGCTGCCTGGCTTGTCTGCACCATTTCCTTTGTGTTGGTAATGCAGTATGTAACACATTGCTCTTTCACACATGAATACTTTGGAAGCTTTGTTCTCATTGTGAATATTGACTTGACGAATGAGGGTTATTGATTAAGGAGGTTTTATCACAGACAATGAATGCTACAAGTTTCCGACTGATTATGTGAACCCATGTATCATGTTTCTAATTACCCACATTATGAGGGATGGTGTGTGAAAACGCCATGTCAGCACTCTGTGAGGCTTGAAAATGCCTGCTCTGCTCCCTGCAGGATTTCATTAAAGCGTTCTATAGTTCTGGAATATTGTCAAAGACTTTCTGATTATAGCGCTGGCATCGGAAGACAATTGGCTGTGTGTCAAGTGTTTCTACTCTTGATATCTGGGCCCTGTCCCCTGCGTACAAGCAGGAGAAGCGTCTACATTGCCTGTCTGCTCATTCTGGGGTTATTAATTTTAGCTACAGTGCATTACCCTCTCTGTGCAATATGTCACCGCTTCTCTGTTGTGGTATTACCTGCTAATAGTTGATGGAAAGAAAACAAAGGCTTGGGGTCTGTTTTAATACGCACACACACATTACCTTGTCAAAGCAGGAAGTTATTAATGAAAGGGAGGCGGGCTTTGTGGGCATGTCCTATTCCCATTGGCACCCAGACAGGTAGTCCTCTACAACACAACCAATCAGCAGTGCAGCAGTGTGAAGTGGGAGGAAACCCGCTGTAAGTGAAATGTGCTGAGTCTTAATGTCTGCCTGTGATGAGGGATGACTGACTGTACAGTAAATCCCTGAGCTCAGCAGGCTAATTCATCTGTTTCATGGGTCGTTAAGGAACAGAACAGAACAGTGGCTTTGATTGAATGTTTAATGTGCGGGACCAAGATGTGTTGCCACCTGCCGCCTCATCACACATTTGTCCCTCATCATGTGACACTCACTCTGGCAGAACAGAATCACTATGGCAGAACAGATCCCATGTCTGACAGGGAACGCAGCATACTAGCTGACTGTCATTCTTCACAGGATGGCTCTGCCAGGCGTCAACTGCTGTGTAATGGGAGAAAGTCTGTCAATAGGACCATGGCTCTGACTGATCAGCAAGAGAACATACTCACAATCTCTATCTATCACACCCATGCTCACAAAAGAGTCAACAAACCTATTGAAGATGGTCCATGTTCTCTTTTTTGTATAATTTCCTTTCATCTCTGGGGTCATCTGTTGCGTCTGGTCTACCCTGGGGGGGTCAGTGGACAGTGACTGCTGTCTGTGTTAGAACGACCTAATAAAGGACCCTGTGTCTCACCTCCTAGACCCCGTCTCTCCCCTCTATGGTCAACTCACTGATCACAACAACAAAAAAACGTAGCAGAACAGATACTCATAGATTAGATTGATCAATGGCCTGCTTTGTTTATCAGACCCATTACAAAGTGCTGTAGGTGCTGATGGGGTCACAAACAGGCCATCAATAATCTCCTTGTCTTTTGGCCCCAAACTCCACCAGCAGACACCGATAGATAATGGCCATGTTGTCCATCCAAAGGCCTCCTATAAGACCAGGCTGGCTGCATCATTACAGACTCTTAATGACCTGACATTTAAAGGGCAGCGGAGAGGAGATCTTAAGGACAGAGTCTGTGTCCCAAATGGCACCCTATTCCCCACATTGTGCACTCCTTTTGACCAGAGCCCTATGGGCCCTTGTCAGAAGTAGGGCACTATATAGGTAAAATGGGCTGATAGGGGCTGATGGGCCAGTGTTGTCATGGAGTCAAACTATACTATCGTTAACACCATTTAGCTATAGCCTACATTCATTTATTTATGTTTATTTATCCTTATTTTACCAGGTATGTTGACTGAGAACATATTCTCTTTTACAGCAGCGACCTTCGGAAGTTACAGGGGGGAGGAGATGGGATAAATTAGCCAATTGGAAGCTGGGGATGATTAGGTGGCCATGATGGTTTGAAGGCCAGATTGGGAATTTAGCCAGGACACCAGAGTTAACACCCCTACTCTTACAATAAGTGCCATGGGATCTTTAGTGACCACAGAGAGTCAGGACACCTGTTTTAACGTCCCATCCGAAAGACTGATTTTGATTTTGAACAATTATGACAAGCAGTAAATTAAGATGTATATATTTAGGCCTGAAATTTAAATAAAAGAAAACTCATGATGATGGTTAACTGCCTGTAGCTACAGTACAATATAACAGGGATAGAGTGCTGAAGAGAAATGTGTCTGTTGTTGCAGGAATGTGAGCTCGGCGGGGGAGGAGGCTCGCAGGAGGATGAGGGAATGCGAGGGCCTCACCGACGCTCTGCTCTACGTGATCCAGACCGCCTTGGGCAGCAGCGAGATCGATAGCAAGGTTTGGCTTTGTGTTTTCTGTCATCTCCACCCATAAAGAAGACTCTTTAACACGACGCTGAGGGAATGACAGACAGGGGCGGCCCATCATTACAAAACACTCACTCACACACACACCACAATTATCACTCACTCACACACACACCACAATTATCACACACACACACCACAATTATCATTCACTCACACACACACACCACAATTATCACTCACTCACACACACACCACAATTATCTCTCACTCACACACACACCACAAATATCACTCACTCACACACACACACCACAATTATCACTCACTCACACACACACCTCAATTATCACTCACTCACACACACACCACAATTATCTTCACTCACACACACACCACAATTATCACTCACTCACACACACACCACAAATATCACTCACTCACATACACACCACAATTATCACTCACTCAAACACACACCACAATTATCAAAAGTTGCTGAGAGCTTTGTTGCCACCTGTATGAAGGAAGACAAAACGCCCAACATAGACCCCAGACAGTTTGGAAGCAGACCAGAAAGATAATCTACCCACGCACTTGTTAGCCTCCTGGACTGTTTATCCGTGTATAAGAAATCAGACATCCTATCCACCATAACCAGCCTCATCACCACTGACTTCTCCAAGGCCTTTGACAAAATCGTACACACCATCACCATTGAACGCCTAATTCAACAGGGTGTCAGACCTGCCCTCACAGCATGGCTCTGCAGTTTTGTGAGGGGCCACAAACAACAGGTACGCTACCAAGACAGCCTCTCAGACTGGCAGGAACTGATGGGAGGTGTGGCTCAAGGAACTTTTCTGGGCCTTCATCTTCCTTGCGGTCATAGACAGTGCAGCCCGTGATTTCGACAATAGGTGGAAATATGTTGATGATCTAAATCTGGTCCACACGTGTACAACAGGAAACATCAGCACACTGTAGTAGCCCCTGAACAACTTCGACACGTGGCTACATGCAAGCAGAATGTCACTGAAACCTGCCAAGTGCAAAATCCTATCAGTGACCTTCACAAGAAATCCACCTGTGCCATGCCAACTCCGGATCGAGGGCCAGGATCTGAAAGTGTGTGATAGTGTGAATATTATAGGGGTAACGGTACAGAAGGACTTACAATGGAGCGAGCAGGTTGCTACTATGGTAACCAAATCAAATCAAATCAAATTTTATTGGTCACATGCGCCGAATACAACAGGTGCAGACATTACAGTGAAATGCTTACTTACAGCCCTTAACCAACAGTGCATTTATTTTTAACAAAAAAAGTAAAAATAAAACAACAACTAAAAAAGTGTTGAGAAAAAAAAGAGCAGAGGTAAAATATAGTGACAGTAGGGAGGCTATATATACAGGGGGGTACCGTTGCAGAGTCAATGTGCGGGGGCACCGGCTAGTTGAGGTAGTTGAGGTAATATGTACATGTGGGTAGAGTTAAAGTGACTATGCATAAATAATTAACAGAGTAGCAGCAGCGTAAAAAGGATGGGGTGGGGGGGCAGTGCAAATAGTCCGGGTAGCCATGATTAGCTGTTCAGGAGTCTTATGGCTTGGGGGTAGAAGCTGTTGAGAAGTCTTTTGGACCTAGACTTGGCACTCCGGTACCGCTTGCCGTGCGGTAGCAGAGAGAACAGTCTATGACTAGGGTGGCTGGAGTCTTTGACAATTTTGAGGGCCTTCCTCTGACACCGCTGTAACGAACCCTGCAGTCTGAGTCGGTTCCTGTCTATGTTACTAGTTTTCTGCTCGGGATCTCCAGTTTCCCGAGGGTTCTGGAACGCTCCCTGCCTGGTTGCCGGGCAACGTTGCTAGGCGGGAGCTCTCTTGATTTCCGCACCTGCATCCCATCAGCAATCTGCACACCTGGTCCTGATCATCACCCTTCTTAGGCTCTGTCCTAACATCCATTCCCTGCCGGATCGTTAGCCATGAACAGTATGTTTATCAGCGGATCAGTCTTAGAGCTTAGAGCATTAGTTTTGTTGTTTTGCACCTTGTTTGCTTGTTGTATGCTTACCTCCGTTTTGTTCTACCTGCAGTCACTCGTCCGGAACCTTCACCCAACCTCTGCCTGATGGTCGGCGGCTGCCGAGCCATCATTGGACCAACTACTGCACCCTCAACAACTCATCCACGCCGCCCGCTCTGTTCCCTGGATTATTCAGCATCACTCGTGGATCAGTTAAATAAACACTCACCTTTGTTTCCACTTACCTTGTCCTGGTCTGCTTCTGGGTTCTGGCTTAGTAAACCGTGACAGAACGATCCGGCCAGTAATGAACCCAGCGGACCTGGACTCTGTTCGCCATGCCATTACCCATCAGGAGAAGATGTTGGGCCATCATGGCACGGTACTACAGGAGATCGCGTTGTCAGTTCGGAACCTTTCTACCGGTCTGACGGAGGTCCAGAACCAGCGCAAGTTTCCGGTGGAGGATCCACTACCGGTTTCACCCATCTCGCCTGCCGCTTCTGGAGCTGTGTCCTTCCGTGAGCCCAAGGTTCCGACGCCGGATAAATATGAGGGGGAGCTGGGAAGATGCCGTTCTTTCCTTATGCAGTGTGGGTTAGTGTTCGACCTACAGCCCTACTCTTATGCCACAGACAAGGCTAGGATAGCCTTTGTGATTGAGTTGCTGCGTGGTCGAGCGCTGGAGTGGGCTTCAGCCGTTTGGGAACGACAGGACCCCTGCATGGCTTCATACCAGGGGTTCACGGCCGAGATGAGGAAGCTCTTCGACCATTCCGTCCGAGGGAGGGACGCAGCTAGGCGCCTGTTTTCGTTTCGCCAAGGAACTCGCAGCGTGGCCGACTTCGTGATCGAGTTCAAGACGTTGGCTGTGGAGAGTGGGTGGAATGAGGAGTCTCTGCAAGCGGCCTTTTACCAGGGTCTGTCGGAGCAGCTCAAGGATGAGTTGATCTCCTATCCGGAGCCTAGTGACCTGGACAGCTTGGTAGCTTTGTCTATTCGGGTGGATAATCGAGTCCGAGAGCGAAGGAGGGAGAAGCAATGGGCCCCGTCCAACCGATCAGCTTCTCAGGTTCCAGTCGGGTCGGGGATTGGACCAGAATACGTCGATCATCGTCCACCACACAGGATTAGTGGAGAGGTCCTGTCTCCCGATTCTGAACCCATGCAAGTGGGGCGGCACGGGTTAACCAAGGAGGAGCGCCAACACAGACATAGGACTAACTGTTGCCTCTACTGTGGTGGTTCGGGACATTACCTCGCCACTTGTTCCCGGCGGTCGTCAAACTGCGCGGCTCGCTAAAGTTGGGAGGACTTTTAGCGAGCCAGTTTCGACCTCTCAATACCTCTGTCAGACCCCGTTTCCCTTATGAACAGGAATCAGAGCTTAGCGATTAATGCTTTTATCGATTCAGGTGCCGATGGAAGCTTTCTTGATGCCGAGTTGGTGGAACAGCTGGGGCTTTCCAAGGAGCAGTTGCCGGAAGCCATTGAAGCTACCACTCTGAACGGCAGTAGTCTGGCACGTATCACGATGAGGACTGAACCGGTTAAGATGCTGTTGTCGGGGAATCATTCTGAGATGATTTCATTCTTCATTCTGCCGTCTTCCCATGTTCCTCTGGTCCTTGGATACCCCTGGCTGAAGGAACACAATCCCACGTTCGATTGGGTGACGGGCAAGGTAACGAGTTGGAGCCTTGATTGTCATGCTAACTGTCTCAAGACTGCCTGTTCCCATTCGGTTCCCAGTCAGGTGATTGAGGCTAAACCCCCAGATTTGTCCCTGGTTCCCGAGACATATCACGATTTGGGGGAAGTGTTCAGTAAGCAGAAGGCTCTGTCACTCCCTCCCCACCGACCATATGATTGTGCCATCAACCTGTTCCCTGGAGTTGTCTACCCCAAGGGAAGGTTATACAGTATCTCCCGACCTGAACGTGAGGCTTTGGAGACCTACATCAAGGAGTCCCTAGCTGCTGGTCTCGTTCGTCCCTCGTCATCACCCCTGGGGGCAGGATTCTTCTTTGTGGGTAAGAAGGATGGCTCTCTTCGACCGTGTATTGATTATCGGGGGTTGAATGACATCACGGTCAAGAACAAGTATCCCCTGCCCTTGATGAGCTCTGCCTTCGACTCCTTACAGGGTGCTACGGTGTTCACCAAACTAGACCTACGCAATGCGTATCACATGGTCCGGATCAGAGAGGGGGACGAGTGGTTGACGGGTTTCAATACACCGATGGGTCACTTCGAGTATCAGGTGATGCCGTTTGGACTGACCAATGCTCCAGCGGTATTCCAGAGTATGGTGAACGACGTCCTGAGAGATATGATCGGTCTCTTTGTGTTTGTTTACCTGGATGACATTCTGATCTTCTCGAAGGAACCTTCCGACCACGTCCAGCATGTCCGACAGGTTCTGCAGCGATTGTTGGAGAATCGCCTGTTCGTGAAGGCCGAGAAGTGCGAGTTTCACGCCCACACGACATCCTTCCTCGGGTACATCATCTCCAGGGGAGAGATTAGGATGGACCAGGAGAAGGTTAGAGCGGTTCTGGAATGGGCCCAGCCCGGTACGAGATTGCAGCTCCAGAGATTTTTGGGGTTTGCGAATTTCTACCGCAGATTCATCCGGGATTACAGCCGTGTGGCCGCTCCATTAACTGCCTTGACTTCCAGTATCAGGACCTTCAAGTGGAATCCGGAGGCGGATCGAGCGTTTCTGGATTTGAAGAGGCGATTCACCAACGCACCGATTCTCTCTCAACCGGACACGGCCCGTCAGTTCGTCGTTGAAGTGGACGCGTCTGATGTGGGAGTTGGCGCCATCCTGTCGCAGCGATGCTCCACGGACAGTAAACTCCATCCCTGCGCCTACTACTCTCGTCGTCTTTCGCCTGCGGAGAGGAACTACGATGTGGGTAACCGGGAGCTTCTCGCGGTGAAACTTGCCTTGGAGGAGTGGCGCCACTGGTTGGAGGGGGCGGAGCAACCGTTTA